AAACAAAAAAGAAAAGGAAAAAAAAAGAAGCAGTTCTCAGAAGTCTTAGGGATGCTTCAATAAGAAAGAAGTGATTAAAAACAGACTAGACTCTTAAATTTGAGAGGCCCCCATTCCCCCCCTCCTATTCACCCCCCACCCGATCAGGTCCCCTCCCTTTCACCTCTTTTTTTATGCAGTGCCCCACCCCCACTCCAAAGCTAAGTAGCAGATTTGGGATTCTGAAGAAAAATAGGTTTCAGCATCCATATTTGTTCTGGGGCACTTGTAAAATGCGATTTGTAGAGGGTCTTTAGCCTTCTGATTGTCTTTGAATTGTTTTTACTGAAACAGATCTTTTGCAGTTAATGAGTCCCCACGCAGCTGGACAGCTCCTCTCGGACACTGAGAACTCTAACCCCAAAATGACCCCAATTTGACACCGCAAGATGAAATTTTACCGCCTGTTAAAACCATTTCCAGCCTGGGCAAAAGGAGCTGACTGTTGACGGAGGTGTGTGCCGCCTCCTGCGACCCCCATCTCGTGTTTGTCTCTTGGGCCTGCCCCACCTACTTTTCCTTCACCCCAAATGTGGAAGAACAGATGAGCCTCGCAGCCTGGATGGGGGTGCAGAGGCTGAGACCAGAGCATCAGGAATGTAATATCAGGCTAGAAATCAGAAAGTGTGTGTACCCCACCGCGCTGGAATCACTTCTCTCGGACTGGCAAAATTGGAGGAGGTAGAGGGAGATCAGAAGTTCTTAAATGTTTTTCAGCTCTGTTAATAAAACATCAGCAAGTTGGTGATTAAAAGTAATAATTTTTGAATTCATCAGATTGGCCAAGAACCGACACCCTGAATCACTTCCAACTTGATCTTGTGTGTAATCTACTGCACTGCGATGCTATTTTACATTTACAGTTTCATAAATGACATGCAACTAGGTAAGTGAAATCTCTTAAGTCGAGTGAAATTCGGGGTTCTCCCCTTAGGCAATTGGTGAATTTTTAAATGATGCAGATTTTCCTCCATTAGGGCTTCATTTTTAACACTCACACTTCTTAACTGAAGTCTCTGGAGTTAAAGATGATTCTGGTGTGTTTTTTTTTTCTTTGACTCTATCTTAAAATGTCCTATTTCTCTCTCCCTCCTACATCAACCAGATTGTCCCTGTAGTTTGCTTTAATATATTCAATACAATGCAAAAGAAGTTCCAGAATATTAGAAAGTAAGGAAGAAAGGAGTTCCGGTTAAAATGATTAAAACACATGAAAATCGAGTTTAAGCTTTTTTTTTCTTTTGTAAAACCCAAGATTGTTACAGAATTATCAACCCATTATTGGTTTAACAACTGTTTGAAAATACAGAAATCATCAATCGCTTTGAATTGTTTTTACTCGGATGCACTTCCATGTAAGAAATTTATGTATTTTTTAATACTAGTGAAGTTTTCCTAAATAAATGCTGTGGGGGATGCTAACTCACTTCACAGTACCACTATGAAAAAAAGCGGTGGTAAAAGCAGCAGAAGGTAGCAACGTTGCATGTTTAAACTCTGCAATGTATAGGTTTGATTCGAAGTTGATCTTCTACAAAAGGAGCGTTTATCAAGGAAATTGAGTTTCTTTTTTAAAAAGAGAAGTAATTGGCACTTACTATACAGGCTATTTAAAACAACAAGAACCCTATTGGCGACAATACATACGCAATATTGAAAATATGAACAACTGGAAGAATAAAAACTAAAAATCACTATAAACTTATCAGCTAGCGGCGCTGAACCGGGAAGTCGGATCCAGCAATTTCAAGATTTCTAGTAGAAACGCTCCGCAGGCGAGACCAGACTGTTATTTTTCTCTCATCCTTCCCACCCCGGCTAAACTGAATTCACGTAACCGCCGCTTGAAATAAAATTCTGCAAGACAACTTTTTTACTTTTGTGTCTTCTTTCCTTTTCTACTCACCTTTTCTTAAATGTCGACGAGAAATTCAGCAACAAATAAGGAGGATGCTTTTAATCTTGGAGTTCTTCTAGGGAAAAAATAGGAGGGGGACGGACCCTCCCCACAACCTGCCGGTTTCATACCCGTTGGATCATACAGGCTTGAAGCCCGGCGTAAAAGTGCTGGAAGTCTGGTCTAGACTCTCCTCTCCGAAGCTCCGAGTGCCCGGCCGTCCCTGCTCTGGTCAACTGGGCAAATACCTCGCAGTCCGCAGCCCCGCGCCCTGGCGTCGCCCTACCCTCGCTTCTGCCAGCCCCTCCGCACTATCTTTATATGTGAGGGCCGATTTCCCGCAGACATCATTGTTATGATGGCTCATTTAATCAAACTGTTTAATTGCTCTGGTAATCACTATCATCATCACAGGTGCTCAATCATTCATTATTTTTGGAGGGCTTTATTGACCTCCGGAGCTCATTCCCCAGCCCTATTAAAACGGGGCCAAATTTCTCCGATTTAGCTTGGAGTCTCAGCAGGCTGCGATCTAAGCTCAGTTGAGTGTTGCCTGAAAGCTTACAGTGAAGCAGAGAAGATGGAAAGCCCCCCCCCCGCCGCGCGCGCCCCAAGCTCATCTGCGCGTCTCTCTCTCTCTCTCTCTCTCTCTCACACACACACACACACACACACACACACACACACACACACACACACACACACACCACTTTATTTTCTCTGTGCTTCCCGTCCCCCGGGAAGTCGGGTCAAAGTCGCGCGCGGAGAATACCCTACTTTCTACTCTCCAGTATGAATTCAAAGTTGGAGAGGCAATCGGCTGTTGAACAGTCTGTTGTCGATTCTCTGGGCCAGGGACCATGAACCGGGCAAGAGCGAGGAGCTAGGGAGAGAGGGTGCTCTCCGAGCACGCAGGGCCGGACTGCTGGGCAGGCGGGAGCCGGAGGCCAGAGGGGGCAAATGCGCCGCGCGCGCTGGGTGACCATAACTCCGCCCCCAGCTCCAGGCTCGGAGTGATTGACGCTTGGCCACCGGGAAACCCTCGGCGTAGAGGTGAGGCTGGGTGCAGCTCCAGCCAGGGATTGAGTGAGACGCCGGCCAGAACTACTTTCTACACAAACCATGTGGGATATTTACCTTCCTCCCCACCCCACTCTTCTTTTCCTTTTTGGAAAAGTTTATTCGGAGTCGGCCCGTCTTCCCCGTGCCGCGGAATTGCCCGGTACAATTAACACAACCATTAGCTGGCGTTACCACGCTCCGGCCTCTGCACTCTGGACGACCACAACAAAGCTGGGCAGGGAATACCGGCCAATTTTCCTTGCAAGGTATCTTATCACTCTCCCTCCCTCTCTCTCCCGTGCTTCCCAGCTCAAAGTGAGATCCACTTCGGAGACGCACACTAGAGGCGCGCGCGCGCGCGCGCGCACACACACACACCCTTTTGGCGACATCAGACAACATCAAACACCCAAACGACTCCTCCCCACTTCCTCCCTCCCAATTCCACCGCGGCCCCCAGAGACTCTCCAGGGTGGCCCTTGTCCACACCGCTAGGAGAGAGTGCTGTCTGAGTTAAGCTGATTTCTTCTTGTCCTGGAAAAATTAAATGTTGACAAGGGTGCTGGATGTGCACAGGGAAGAAAGTACCACTTGAAAAAAAAACAAAACAAAAACAAACTATAGCTCCGCAGTAGTACGGTTTGCAGAGCCTGCTGCCCCTGGATGTTAGCAGAAAGCCTTCAGGGGCGCAGTAATCGGCTGGTAGAGGAGTCGGGGCCCGCGAAATTAAAAGGAACAAAAGCAAGAGCGCCATGCCAAACGTCCCCGACACGACCCCATTAGGCTTGAGCCCGGTGTAATGAGAAAATGAACTAGAAGTAAGTTTGAAAAAAAAAAAAATTATAAGATCTGAGTCTGTACCGTACTTTCCCTGTGGTTTTCTGCAGTTTTCCTCTCTGCGCTCTCCCTGTCCTCTTCATTCTCTCCCTCTTTCCTCGCTCGCGCGCGCCCGCCCTCGTGCGCGCGCCCCCGTGCGCGCGCGCGCGTACACACACACACACATTCACTCCTCTTCCTCCGGCTCCCCCCCTCCATTCCCCCCCCCGCCGCCCCCCTCCCCGGCCGTCCCCGCGGAGCAGCAGGCTCGCTGATTTGCTCGGATCTGCCAGGCTCCTACCTCCCCTCCCCCCCACCCCCCCACCTCCCCCGCCCCCCCAGTCGGGGCCGTCCGATCGCACTCGCTGCATATCAGAGGCTCGGCGCGGCGCGCTCCTCCTCGCTCCCGCTCCCCACTCCCGGGATGTGTCTCCGCCGTACGACGGGCTATGGCCACCACGACTTCCGGGTTCCGTCATTTCGTTCTCCCGCCGCCGACCCGCGCCGCCAAACTGAGGCTCTTCTATAAGCCAGGCAGCAGCCAACCTGCCAACACCTACTGACACTCACTCATCTCCCAGAGAGAGAAAGAGAGCGCGAGAGAGCGAGCGCGAGAGAGCGAGCGCGAGTGAGAGCGAGCGAGCGAGAAAGAGAGAGAGGGAGAGACAAAATACCTACCAGGAAAGGGGGGGAGGAAGTCCAATTTTTGCAAACTATTCATTTTTTTTCTTGATTTTTCCCCTCTGCTTTCTTTGAACGATACTTTAAAGAGAGAGGATCATATTATAGATACCGCGGGGGCCAAGCTAAAAGAGGGGGGGGAGGGGGAGGAAAAAATTCAAGAAGCAGAAACCCCTCGCGGAGTTTTACTGGAAGAAAAAAAACGGGTCTGAAAGATTCCTCCTCTTCATCATCATCAACCATCATTCATTCACTACCTTGACATTCCGGGCTTTGATTGACAGCTGGAGTGGCAAAAAGCCATGAAACACGACAGTTCGGTTACATGTGGGCTGCTGACGGGCCGCTCGTAACCTTCAGTTCGGGGGCTTGACAGTTTTTTTTTCTTCTTTTTCTTCTTTTTCTTTTCTTTCTTTTTTTTTTTTTTTTTTTCCAACTGAGGGGAAGAGAAGAGAAAGAGGGGGAAAGGAGGACCGAAAAGGAGGAGGAGGGGAGGGGGGGAGGAGGAGGAGGTGGAGGAGGAGGAGGAAGATCAGGAGGAGGAAGAAGAGGAAAAAAGAGAAAAAGAAGAAATATCACAGAAAAAAAAAAAAAAACCTCTTCGTTGTCTTGCCTGGGCTCTTTTTTTTTTCCCCCTAAAAATAACATATTGGAGAATTGGGAGAAGTCTTTTTGGTTTGGAAAAAAAAAAAAGGAATCTTCAGCCTAGATCACTTTCTTATCCGGACTGGGATATTAAATATACGACACATCCAGGAGTTTATTGGAGCGCAGACTGATGGCGCAAAGGGTAGGTTTAAATCTCCAACACTTACCTAGATATAAATCCTCTCCTAAGAGGGGCCTGTCCCGATGCCTCCTCTCCCTTCAGTGCTGCTGCTGCTCGCTGCTTGATGATGGCGGCCAGTATTTAAAAAAATAGCAGCAAAATTATTCATCGGCTTTCCCCCCGTGCCTCTGCGTGTGTGCGAGTGTGTGTGTGCGTGCGTGTGTGCGTGTCTGGGCGCGCGTGTTCCAGCGCTGTGCGAGCGGGCGGCGGCGAGTGCGTGTGAGTGGTGTGTGTGCGTGTGCAATTGTTACACGCTTTCGCCTCGCTCCAGCTTTTACCCCAGCAGCGCGATTCCCCCGGTTCTCCTGCTGCCGCCGCTGCCGCTGCTGCGCCGCTGCCGCCGCTGCTCCCGCGGCTCGGGGCGGGCACGGGCTGCGTAGGAGCCGCCGCCGCCGCCGGGGCCGCCGCTGGGGCCGCGCTGCCGCAGCCGCTGCGCCGCCGCCTAGACTAGCCTGGGCTGCTTGTTTTGTCTCTGAAATTGACAAGGACGCAGGGAATCCGCTGCTAAATAATGTTTCTGGTAACTTTCACGTTATTCCCCCCTCCCCTCCGCTCCCTGCCCCCGGGGAGGCACTGGCCCCAGTCTTCCCTCGTCTTCGGCGCTCTCCTCCTGATTATTAGCGTTTTTCTTCTCTTTATTTTGTTTCATTTCGCCTTTTGATTTATTGGATCCTCGGGAGGAGGCAAAGGGGGGTTAGGGGTGGGATCCAGGGCTTCCTCCTCACACTAACTCCACTTCTCCCTCGGTTGGCTCGCTACGGTTCTGCTGCCTCCGGCCCGAGCGGGACCTCCCGGCGCCCCCTCAGTCCCTGGCCTCACTGCCCCCCTCTCCCTACTCTAAACGCTGCTCTTGGTTCATACTTTTTCATTTTAAAATTTAAAAACATTTCCCCCCGCAACTTTCAACTCGTTGTTTCGGCTGGTTTGGTTTCTGTGTGTTCAACTCGTGCTCGGGACTTTTCTCCTTTCTGACTTTGTTTTTATTTCTCCCTCTCTCTCTATCTCTCTCTCCCCTGCCTGCCCCCTCTTCCCTTCGTCTTTCTCCCCCGCTCCCCCCCCACCTCTATTCCTTTCCCACTTCTCTCCTTGCTTTCTTCTCCCATCTTCTTTTTCTATTCCCCCTCGGCTCTCCCTCACCTCCCGCGCCCCCCTCCCCCTTGCCGGGTCCCGACAGTACGATGAGCTGCCCCATTACGGCGGGATGGACGGAGTAGGGGTGCCTGCTTCCATGTACGGAGACCCTCATGCGCCGCGGCCGATTCCCCCGGTTCACCACCTGAACCACGGGCCGCCGCTCCACGCCACGCAGCACTACGGCGCGCACGCCCCGCACCCCAATGTCATGCCGGCCAGCATGGGATCCGCTGTCAACGACGCCTTGAAGCGGGACAAGGACGCGATCTATGGGTAAACCAACCCCCCTCCTCCCGACCCAGCATACTGTTTGTGAGTGAGAGTGTGTGTTCGTCTCTGTGGGGGTTGAAGGGATGGTCGACTAAGTGGGGAGTTATTTCTGCGGGGGAGGGGGGTGGGAACCGCTTGCCTTCAGAAAGGACAGAGAAGGGGGCCTGCTCTTCTTCGCCTTAAGTGTAAGTCCCCGACAGATAAAGCTTCCTCCACCCCCACGGCCCGGTCACTCCGGACCCCACAGCCCAGAGTGACTGAGTCCTGAGAATCTTGCCAGGGCCTTCTCCCCAAGGACGGGATTCCTGGCCAAAGGACGCAGAACTGGTCCTTCCAGGGCCCCTAACAGAGGCCTTGACGAAGGAGAAAGTTTTCTGCCGATGAGGAGCAACTTTGGGGGTTTTTTTGGTTTGTTTGTTTTTGTTTTTGTTTTGTTTTGTTTTTTTTCCTCTTCTGTTTCCTACCGAGAGTCTGGGAGTCACTAAATGCAGCTTGAGCTGGGATCAGGGCTGCTTCTGTCGGCCAGGAAGTCCTAATCACCCACTTCTTAATTCTCTGTAAATAAAGGGGTAGACCTTGAAGTGCAGCGGGGTGGAAGGGACTGCGGCTTGCATAGAGCTAGCTGCTCTTAGGAGGAGTGAGGGAGATGGCTGGAAATTCCGTATTTTATATTCTGAGGGAACTCGGGAGAGGGATGGAGGTGCACGGTCCAAAAGTGTACCACCGGTGCTCTTCCAGTTGAGAGGAGGTGGGGAAGGCGGCGGTTTGCCGAGGGGAGGGGACGGTTGGTAAACGGCAACTGAGCCTGAAGCCAGAGGCCGCAAGCATCCCCAAGTGTAGCTAAGCCGCCCGGAGGAACACAAAGGGCAGACGCGCACGCATACTTCCAAGTTTTAACACTCGGTTTATTTATTTTTGCCTGCTGGAGAAATGTGGTCTTTGGAAGGAAGCTCTTGGGCGTTTAACATTCCTATTATTTTGGCCCCCACACACGGGCTTTACTAGAAGTAGAGCAAACAAGTTTATAAGGCAAGGGGGTGAAGAGGTTGGAAGAGCACTCTCTCCGATTTAGGTTTAGGAAATATCACTTCGGGTATATATATAGGTGAAGCCTTCGGCCTCCTTCGAAATAACCATTAATATGGAGAGTTAAAGCTTTTTTTTTTTTTTTTTTTAATTTCAGAGTGTTCCTTTCTTGAGAGGTCAGGCCTGGGTATCAGGGGGTTGGTTCCGCGGCCTCTGTAAGTGTGGGGATTGGGTCTGGATCAACTCCGGGCTCCAGACTGCCTGAGCTGCTTGGATGTTTCATTACTTCCAACTGGGGCTTTTCTTACTTGGCGGGCTGAAGTGGCCAGGGGCTTCTCCGACTAGATCCGAGGGACTCCTGAGCTGAGGGAAAGGGCCAGGCCGTTTTTCCTTTCTGTTTCTGGCCCAGGCTCGGCTGGCTAAGGAAGGGTTGTAAAGTGTGATGCGTGCCTGTTTTATTAAAGAAGGAATCCGAACCCTCCAAACTTGTTGATTACAGTTCTTGCTCCTTCCCCTCTGCACCCCGTCTCCGTGTGTGTGTCTCTGCGTGGCGCTGCCCGTTAGGCACCCGTTGTTTCCTCTGTTAGCTCTGGTCTTTGAGAAGTGCGAGCTGGCGACCTGCACTCCCCGGGAACCCGGAGTGGCCGGCGGAGACGTCTGCTCCTCCGACTCCTTCAATGAGGACATCGCGGTCTTCGCCAAGCAGGTCCAACCTTCTTGACCCACTCACCCTCCTGCAGACCCTCACTCCTCCTCCCCTTTCCTCCGAGCTTTACATGAAAGAGGAGGAAAAGGCCGGGACACCCGATCTGTTCCTCTGGCCCAGTCCGTGCTCTTCGCCTCCTCCCCATCCCTGAGCCTGGAGGCGAATTGGAAGCGGAGATAAATATGGGTGTTTGTTTTTCCCCCCAGCCAGGAATACAGGGGCTCGACCCTCGAATTAAAGTTGACCTGCTCCTAATCTGGGGCTTGGCCTTTTCCCCCGCCTGCAGCTACTTGAACAAGTATTGGGGATGGGGGCTGTGAGGGACCAGAGAGTGCCTGGGAGGGAAGGAAGCTGGGCGCCTCATGGGGCGGTCCGCGCGGGGCGCTAAGGCGAGGGAGGCTGAGAGCCACAGCCCCTTAGACGGCTGGATGAGGGGGTACTCAGGCCCAGAGAACGGCCCTGAGTTCCCAGCAACAGCTTAGCAGTTCCAGGTGCCCCTCAATGGGGCGAGGAGTAGAAGGCCCCAGTACTTTTTCAACCGAACCCACTAATTTAAGGCATTAGTTTGTTCCGTGTATTTTACCAAAGCCCCTCTCCTCTTCTCCGCCACTGCCCTTCCACCGTACCCACTCAGACGGTTTAGTCCGTGACAGCGTTTTTCTTCCTTTAAGTTGGGGCGGTCATTCATGTTGACTTTCCCTGCTTCTTACAGGTTCGCGCTGAAAAGCCACTTTTTTCCTCAAATCCAGAGCTGGACAATTTGGTAAGGCTCACCGTTTCTTGCCTTTCCCCAGCCTGCTCCCCCCCACCCCCCACCTTGCCTAGAAGCACCCACTTTCCCCCTGGAGCTCCGGGGAGTTGGAGCAGAGCCCTCTTTTGAAGCTCAAGAGCGACAGGGAGGAAGAGGGAACAGCTTAGAGCCCCCGCAAGGGCGATGGGAGGTGAGGGGTGGGATGGACGTCAGGGAAAGCGGAGGCCGGGGAGCAGCAGGCGAGGACACAGCGCCCAGAGTGTGAGCAGGGGGTGAGTCCCAGGTCTCGGCCCCGGGAGCGAGGCTGCGAGAAGTGAGTTATTTCCTCTGTTTGCCGGGGTAGGCAGCCGAGCCCCCGGCAGCTCACCCGAAGGAAGTAACCGCGGGCGCAGCAGCAGCGGAGGGCGGGCGGGGAGATGGGGGGAGGGAGGTACGGGGCAGGCGGGCGCAGGCCACTTTTAGGTGCGATTCTTTTGCTAATTTGCACAATTTCAATATTAAAAGTACTTAAATCCGCTTTCAAAGGCCTTGCTTCACCATTCATCTTGAGTATTTCCTTCTTCAGTAAGGACGGATTTCGCAGGGTATGCTGTTCAAAAAAGCTTTCTCTCTCCGAAGAAGCGGATTTTTTTTTTTTTTTTTAATTTGGCCTGAGGTCGAGAGAGGGGACGGTTAAAGACTCAGGCGGAGAAAGAAGGCCTGGCCCTAGGAAAGCAGTCCTTACAAATAGCCTAGTGAACACAGGGGGCAAAGATATTAGATGCTTCGGCTCAGATTGAGTCAGATTCCTACCCCGTGGCCAATGAGGCAGAGATGATCAGTAATCACTTGGTTTTTCTGACGATTTCTTGATGTGTGGGTTTTGCCTGGCCACTTGCCGGCTTCTTCTCCCCAGCTCAATTCCCTCACCCCCCCCCCCCCCCCCCCCGCCCCAACTCAGGACTTCTGAATCACAGAGCCTAACTTCACACTCTAAACTTTTCTTTCAGATGATACAAGCAATACAAGTACTAAGGTTTCACCTTTTGGAGTTAGAAAAGGTAAGCAGGAAATGACACTCCCCATTTTGATTTAGCCACTTTCCTTTCTTAGTTGAGTTGGGATGTCTTTAACAAAACTCCAGTCTGAGGGATTGAGCACCTGGAGGTTTTGAGAAACTTGTTACCATGTCCTTCCTTCGAATTGCTGCTCAACCCAGGGGCTCAGAGGATGGGTGAATTAGGACAGCCCTGCCTGCTCCCCTATCCCACCCCCTCCTGCCTTTCCCCCCAGGCATTCAGGATTATTTTGAAATGCAGCAAACCATTTGTGTTACTGGACATTCAGCCTGCTTGCGTCTCTATTAGCTTAGCCCTCAGACCAGAGCGAGTGTTAGGTGCAAGCAGAGGGAATCATCCTCGCTGGGGTGTCTTTACATTGCTCTGCAGCTCAATTACTGTCCCCTGGAAACATGCAAAACTCTTAGCTTATTGGATCACAAATGCCAATGCTTTTCCCAGTTCCAGCGTTCTAACATTTTGATGTTATCAAATCGGATTTTCCCCCTTGGACTCCCAGTCTGAGCCCAGTTATTTCCAGTCCTGTTTCTTCTCTCTTTATTGTTAACTTGTTGCTCAGGGAAGTCTCTGGAGAATAATATCTGCTGCAACAATTGCTCTATTGTTTCCTTGCCTTCAAGTATTACACCCATTAATTAGAGTTAGTTTGGAAGACATTGCACTGTTGCTCTTTCCAAATGTAACCTTGCAACCTGACTTTTTCCCCTTTAAAAATGAAACAAAACAATAACAACAACAATATGAGCTGAACCCTCCACCATGACCCTCCTTTTAGGTCCACGAACTGTGTGATAACTTCTGCCATCGGTACATTAGCTGTTTGAAGGGGAAAATGCCCATCGACCTTGTCATTGATGAAAGAGACGGCAGCTCCAAGTCAGATCACGAAGAACTTTCAGGCTCCTCTACAAATCTCGCTGACCATGTAAGTCTGAGAGCCCTTTGGCATTCTTTTGAGACCACTGGGTAAAGCATTAAAAAAAAAAAAAAACTTGTAACATTTAGCTAAGCTTAAACTTAGTTTTCTTTTTAAATGATCTGGTCTCTTTGGGGGTCTTTTCTCTCTTTGTCACTACCTCTGCCATACCCTTCATCTTCGTTTGCCCTTTCCTGGCCCCTCTCCTTATTTATGTGGAGAACCAAAGAAACCAGGGAGTTGATAGAGTGATTTGTGCTCTTAATGTGTAAAGTTTCCTGGATTTGGTGGCTTGAGTGTTAGCAAATTGTCTGTTTGATATGGTGACTGCTGCCTTTTCTGCTTTCTCAGCTCTGTGTAATCAGTGCAGCCTGGACAGAGGGGCAAGTCGGCTAGCTGGACAGGGTGGGGGAGAGAGAGAACTGAAGGACAAGAGGAACCGGGGAGGAAGGGCCGGTTTCCCAGTCTCTCACAGAGATGACAATCCTGAGAATTATTGGCAATCTTGCATTGCATTAGAAATAAAAGAAGGAGTGAACACATTACAATTCTCTGAGCTCTTGCTCTATAGAAACTTATTGTCAGTATATGGACTTATTGCCAAGTGCCTGAAGCATCTTCATAATAAAAGACAGTAACTTTGATGAAACAGTTATTAACAATGTATTACAGAAAGCTGAAGGGAATTGCGATTGAGTAACCATAGGTTCGTGGTTGAATTTTAACACTTAAACAGTTGGTGAATGAAGACAGAGTATAGTAAGGAGTGACTGTGTATGTCAGGCCAGGATGGGAGATTTCTTTCTATTCTCTGTTTTTAATCCTGTTTTGGAACCGATTTAGGGAGTCTGATGCTTAAAAAAAAAAAAAAAAAAAAAGGAAGGAAGAAAGAAAGAAAGAAAAAAGCATATGTAGTGAGACTGAAAATTTGAAAAAGAAGCAAAGAAAGATTGCAGCTGGTAGGAAAGACAAGAGTGGGGAGGTTAAAGAGTGGGTGTGAACAGCAGTTTATTTATAGGAACTCAAGCGGGGGGCGGGGGACAGGGTGTCTATAGATTATATTCAATTGAGCTTACAACCTAAGTGATATAGGCTACAGTCTAATAACTTGCTGGCTGAAATATTAACTTAACACTTTGTGGAGTTAAACAGGTTTCGAGGCTTGAAGGCAGTTTTTATCATTACCACCAGCTCTCCCCTCCATTCCTGGGTGTTAAGAGGAATGGGTTGAGATGCCTTGAGAATAAACCTTCTGTGAGGGCCTTTATCTCCCCCCACCCTCCAAAATAAAGTTTTGAAAATATACAGGCATACATTTTAATTATGTTCCTTTGTACTGTATGGAAAGCCAGCCTAAGAACAAAAGTTAAAAAAAAAAAAAAAAAAAAAGGAAAGAAAACCTCAGTCTTGGTTGTCCAGTTCTGAGACAGAATAACTACTATGGCATTGAAAGCTCGTATGGCTATCTTTTCTCTTGGCTTTTTCCATCATGATGGGGGGAACTTTGAGGGGCTCTTTTGTATTTGAGTGTATCAACTGAAATCAAAAGGTTGCAGCAAGCAGCTATGGAAAGTTTACTTGCTGATATGTGGCTATATGATGTGTGGCTGTTGTCCACAAGGCATGACACTCCCTTAGAAATATTTGTTGTTGTTGTAATTTATTTGTTTATTTTCATTGCTTCCTGTTTCTCAATTCAAATGCAGCCTGCAATGTTGGGGGAACGAGAAGGAATCTAGTTACATGGTTTGTAGGATGAGAGGTTCACAGTTATCTGCAGCCAAAAAACGTTTCTCATGACATTTCCAGGGGTCTCGACTACTTGGTTTTCTAGAATAGTTTCTTGGCAACTGTTTTTCAAGTGGATGTACGTAACTAGAACATGCCGATGTTTACATAGAAGAGAGAAGATAAACTCGGCTGTTTAGAATATTGGCTGATAGACGGTGCCAATTCATGAAACTATTGTAATATTTAAATTACACTTAAAAAGGAAGTGGTACCTAAGAGGATAGCGCTTTAATAATTTAACAATCATCAGCTTTGGATAAAAGAGTCAAATATAACATTTGTTGCTCCTCTTCAGGCCCCCAATCAAGTAAAGATGACAACTGATTTATTTTGAACCCATGAGGGCTTGCCACCTCATTGGGCATCATAATTTAAAGCCTTTTATTTCCTAGAGATCTGAACTATAACATTTTTACTTTAGCCCCCTGCTATTTGTTTTGAAAGGAAGCACTAATTTGTTCCACCAGGCACACCGAGTGGGAAATGGCGAGATTTGCTGCAGACTTGAATTTTATGCGGGAGGGGAGAGAAAACCTTGTAGAGTTTTCACCATTTTTGATATTTTTGTACCAGAGGTACATTGGTTATATTCATTTCCAGGCATCCCCCTACAAAATGAATTCTTTATGTGTCTGCCTCTTCTGCAAGTACACCCTCCCTTCACTCTCCCCCCGCCCCAGCAAAAAAGGGTAAAATACCCCTACTACCTGAAAAGTGGTATGAGTGGGACATTTTCAGCATGTAAATGTGTCCAATTTGAATCTCCAGGTTTATTTTTTCATTTGCTTTGATATGCATATTTAATACATTGCCCCAGGCTGGATCTCATTTGGTGCACGCTGGTGCAGGGGTGATGATGAGCCACTTCAGAAGGACTGAGACAGCGTGTTGTTTTCTCTGTTTTATCTGTTGGCCCACTATTCTGATCTACTGCGCTTCCTCATGGTTTTATTTGCACATGAAATGCCGAGAGCATTTCAACTTATTGGCTATGAATAATGACAGCTAAAAAAGAAGTGTAGTTTAATTTGTTGTGTGCCAAGGTTTCTCTTGTGGAGGTGACAGTTTGTGACAGCTGTTTGACACCCCCAAAACACAGACACCTCTATACTTATTAAGTGGTATCAAGCTGCACTGTGTGTGTGTGTGTGTGTGTGTGTGTGTTTAAGGAAGGATCGGGCAAGGAGAGAGAGATAGTGAAAGAGAAAAGAAAGAATAAGTGCGTAATTTTGTATAGTGGAAAGCAGAGAGAAAAGCGTCAGGAACAAAATATTAGGTGCCAAAATAGACTTCTATTATAGGAAAAATTTGAAAATAAAACTGAAGGAAAGTAATTGCTACAAATATCTTGAAAGCAAGTATTTTGGGCAGGCTTTTAAGAATGAGTTTTATATACGATTACACAGTAAATCAGGCTGTTGTCATGCTGATTTCACATTGTGTAATTTTATGTAAATAATCTGATGCAACATTGATAAAAAGACAACCAGGATGTCCTAACCTTTCGTATGGTACATTCATTAAAGATACTGAACTCGTTCATTTATTATCGACATTTACATGATGGGCATGATGATAGAAGGAAGTTTGGAATTAAATAGAAAATAAAATTTGCAACACTGGCTCCTATTTTGTTGTTTTTAGTAAATTCATAATGAATGCTTACATTTTTGTATTATAACATAGTTTATTTTATGTTATTAAACATGAGAGTAATTGTTATAGGTGGGAAACAACTATTACAGTATTCTTTGGAATATTGGGAAGAAGAAAATAAGATGGTGAAAGGAAATAGAACTCTATTTTCCAGATGCAATTTGTGTTAAGTTTCCCATTCAAATTTATTATGTTTAAAATAAACATGTCAAGAAACCAATTCTTCAAAAAAAAACTTTCAACTTGAAAACTCTTGTGGAATATTCATGCTTTTCCTAGTCTATAGTATTTCTAAATAATAGGTGATATCCACATTTTCTGCTTTACATAATTTTAGATCTAGTACAGACAAATAAAATATATCTTTACATTTACATTTAAAGATATAACATATCTTTAGATCAACGTTAGATAAATGAAATATATCTGTTTGAAATACATTCTCTGAGCCAAGCTCTATTTGCCTGAAGTGCATACAGTTATTATTCCTAATTAATGTTCATAAGGAACTCATCTTATTTATTAATTTTTTGGATGAAGTAAGGGAAGAAAATACAACTTTATCTGTTAATAGTTAATGACAGGTGCCTTATAATTGACTAGCTCTGATAATATGATTAATAAAAGAAAAAAAGAATTTCTATGTTGCTATGTTGTGTAATTACCTGAAGACATGCTGTTGTTCTCTTTTGCATCTCTGAATATGTCAAGTTTATTTATCTGTGTACAGCTTCTAAAAATGGGTTAAGAACCTTGTCCCTGACAGAATACAGGCAAGTGTCTAGAGGTAAAATCTATTAGTACCTGGAAAAGCAGCAGGGATTAGGCAGCAAGGAGAGGGTTAGGTTTAAGTGATTGGTCTATAGGATATCAAGGGGGAAATAATGGAATTTGATAATAATATTAATAATACAAATGATTTCTTTTATCAGATAGTTTCTTAAGTTCTAGGATAGGATTAGACTTTGTGGTGTGTTATCCAACGTCTCCAGGGACCCATTCCGGGAAAGTTCTACCTCTGAGTTCTTTCCACCAACTCAACATGGCGGGAGTCATGGGTTTTCTGTTGTTACTGTTGTGTAGCTTCCGAAGGTCGATAGCTCCTCCGTCAATTTCCCATTCAAAATAATTATATTATTTAAATCACTTCACTTGTGCCGTTGAAGTATGTTTTCAGTGTAACTGTGATGAGATGAAATTAAACAAACACTTGACAACCACTGACACTCACTATCAGATTAAAATTTTGATACTTTAAAAATTGATTTCCTTTTTTTTTCAGACTGAATGTGTTATGGGATATCCCAACACAATTCAGAGTTATAGGAGACATTTTATAATGTGATGGTATACCAACAAAACAAGAAATTTCTATTTTTTCTAAAAGTTAAATAGAGGAATCCATTTTTCTTTTTAATTTTTGGAATTCATTTTTGGAATTTGCAAAGAGTACTTGCCACTTCTTTGAGAGTTACTCACATATTAATTCCCAAAGCTCAATAGAGGGTGGAAGCAGGGAGATGAGGGAAAGACCCCAGCTCTATTTACATTTTTAAAGAGTGAGTCCATGTTCTGAAAGCATGCATGGTTCTCCTGAGTTCTTATGTCAACTTTAGAATAATGAAGTTGAAATTCCAACATTTTTTCAAACCATACAATTAACATTTTTAACTTTTGTAGGCTTGAATACCTCATGATAGAAGTCCTCATCTTATTTTAAAAAATAATTTCTGCACAATGTTAATTAGGAACTAAAACATCATAAAGTCATAGGAAATATGTTACTTATTAATTATGTGTACTAATGCAAGCATATCTTGCCTTTGTTGTTTAAACATATCGAGTCAGATTAGTTTTGCATGCTTCATTTGGTGGTTAAAATATCTTTATATATGTTTACTATTGCTTTCTACCTACAAGCACATTTTCTGAATTAGTCTACTGTATTGTTCAAGTTCGTATAAAAATTTTGGCTTGGTGTTATATATCACATGTTAGTTGTGTAGGTTCTAGAAAATCAAATGCTTATTTTAAAGTATTTTTTTAATAATAGAAATAAGAAGTAGAAGTGACCTTAGGGATTATCTTGCCTAAGTTCTTAATTTTAAAGAGCTAGAGGAAGCAAGTCCCAGGGAAATGAAGTGCATCACTTCATGTGCTTAAGGCCACATGATCTGTTAGAGGTGGCACCCTAGTATCTTAATTCAAATCTAGTGCTCTCTCTCCTATACCACATCAATTGAATCATCTTTTCACTTGGGGTCTATGATGAGTTTTAGATAGAACTTGTGTAGTATGGCTTTTTCTTTCCTTCTTGAAGCCTAGTACATTTTACTTCTCCACTCAGTTTTGCTTTTATTTAGAAATGCGCCTACATTTTCCTCCATTGTCTTTTTGCAATGGAAGAACCATGAGCTTTGTGGAATCATTTAAACAGGGCAATACCACCAATTCACCAGGACTTACTATTTTCCTATGGGCAGGTCCCCACAGAAATGCCATAGGGGTGTAAAATGTTACAATTTCCACCATATCTGCAACCTCAACAAAAGAGGCTTGCATATGTTTTGCTTGCTATGCCCAGAGACTCCTTTCCTATCTGTGCTCTTTCCTAGATTTAGCAAAATTCAATGATGGTGCTAAATCATTTTTTTTTTTTAATTTCAAGGGAGAAAACACTGGCAGAATTGTGTTTTCTAGGGAAAGCTGTGTGTAAATGAGAAACAGAGGAGAGCAGCAGAATGATCTCCTGTGGCCTCACCACTACAAGCTCTCCCCATCTTGTCTCATGCTTTTATATTAATTACAACTTGCATTATCAGCTGTGAGTCTGTAGCCCAGCAAATAGAAAATACTGCCCCTGGAGACCTAGCTTCTTGTATCTATTTTCCATCTCCTTCTATTGTGTTCCACTCAGTATTCACTGCTTTTCTCCTGCTAACACTGCTCTTTAATGCAATTACGTAAGAGCAAGAAGAGTACCATATTTGACTCCCAATTATTAAAGCCACTGGGAATAGAAACATGTTCACTCCTTGCCCTCGGGTGTCTTCAGGATACTTGGGTTGAAGAACAGGACATATAGAGTGCAGTGCATCTACCTGAGTGCTCACCCACACACATGCACTCGGAGAGCATTTCTCTTTATTTTCTACATACATCATGTGTTGCACATGCTGTCATACGCCACTTTGGTTTCAAGATACACTAAACTTCTGCATATAATTTGGCAGAAAGCCAGGCAGTTATTCTTGAAGGATGTAAACTTGGAAACTATTTAGGGAGGGGGAAAAAAAAAGAAGAAGAAGAAAGAGGTTGTGATACAAACAAATATTTCAGTCTAAGAAAAAAAACCCAGTGTTATGGGTAAGGGATTATATTTTATCTACACACGTAGGTTGTAATTTTTTATGACCAAGAAGGTAGCAATTTTTTATTGACCAGATTATCAGCATTTGTCTTTGTATATGATCGAGTCACCATGGTCTAGCTGGATAGGAACAACTTTGGGGTAACTCCTCAGCCCTGAAGCCCCAGAGAGATCCATCTGTTTTTCCTACTTTCAAGTTAGATGAATGCCATGGTTACTCCTTAATTTGTGTCAATCTCTCAAACAAGGTCATAATTGGGACACTCTGTGGAAATAAACATCTTATGACACTTGTTGGGGACAGCATTTTTGAGGATGTGGAGAAGAGAGAAGAGACAGGGGAATGGTATGTTAAATAGTGAACAGGAGCAAATTTTAGGACTGGGCTGAAAACCAAAGATCCAACTCACTTAGAGGAATCAGTTGCTTTTAAAGTAATATTTGCTTATGTGGCTTATTTTTCACCCCTTTACTTTAGAACCTCCCCGCTCCAGAAAACCACTGAAAGAGGTACACTAAATTGTAAATTAATGAGGTCTGTCTTTAAAAACTCAGTACAGGTTTGACTGAGAGGGACAAACCAGTATTTTCAGTTGCAAGAAGTCCTTTTGAGCAGTCGCTTCAAGTCACTCTAGTGCCCAAATAGAAAGACTTGCTTCATTTGAATGATGATATAATAGTTGTTGGATGACATTTACCTTAAAACATAGTTGAGATGTTAGTAGTTAATTATTGTAATTTTCATGAGGGGTAAGGAGCTTTTATAGCAGCCTGCTTAATAAAAAGCCTGCAGTGCATAAAATTAACATCACTTGCTGTATACACTGAAAAGTTTAGCCTAGGTGAATGTGGTTCAGTTATTTCATTTTCTGAAAGAAGGCTCTAGCCAGTGTTATTGTAGGACTAAACTCATGCCATGCTATCCATCCTTCCTTCCTTCTTTTCTTTCTTTCTTTCTTTCTTTCTTTCTTTCTTTCTTTCTTTCTTTCTTTCTTTCTTTCTTTCTTTCTTCCTTCCTTCCTTCCTTCCTTCCTTCCTTCCTTCCTTCCTTCCTTCCTTCCTTCCTTTCTTTCTTTCTTTCTTCCTTCCTTTCCTTTCTTCCTTTCCTTTCTTTCCTTTCTTTCACGTAATTCTTCTAGCTCTTTATCTGATTACCATCCGGCAAACAGCTGATGCAAAGAGGCTGCAAAGCTTGAAGAGCCCCTGTATTCTGTTTGCCTTTAGCTTGAAACTCTTGGAGTGGTTTCTAACTTAGATAAAAAGAGAAATCACAGGCATGACTTTGTCTTAATAGGGGCAGCCCAGAACCTTGATTTTCATTTTATTCGACTCGTTCCCTAATCTCCTTTCTAAAACATAACCTTTAGAGATCTAAACCTGTGCTCTATTTAGAGTCACAGGATTTCTGCTTCGGGTTTTCCCTTTGAATCAGTTGCTAGCCTGATGGCATTATTTGGTATAGATATTACTGATCTATAGAGCTTTGGGTCATTTCGTCATCTCTCAAAAATGCTAGATACTAATTTGTAGTCAGTTTGTAGCAGACCCTGTAGAGGGGGGAGAAAAAAAGGTTGTTTTTGGTTGTTGTTGTTGTTGTTCCAAATAAGAATAGTCCCTTATTTTGTCTCACCATGGTTTCTTGATTTTATTTTGATAAAATTTTATATACTATATATACAATAGAGTTGATGTAGAAGAAAATGAAAGACTTTTTTTTTTTTTTCTGGATAAACTATATATAATGACAACATGGCAAGATTGCTTTCAGATGGTCACGATGTTTGCATGTTGCCCATAGGCATGTCTGAATCCTTATTTACCAATTCTTGTGAGAAGAAATCGTGTACTTTGAGAGATTGATATTGTTATTTCATTTTGCCCCCAAAGAATCTCCCTGCCCCACCCCCCATAAGAATTTGCTTGCCAGGAGATCTTTGGGCTCTAGTTGAAGTCATCACATGCAGGTGACAAGTGTACAGTTCTGGCCTTAAGGCTGGTCTGTTTCATGTGCAGTTCCTATTCCCCGTTTCTGCCAGAGGAAATTCCATCTCTTGCCTGCCTTCATGTGGTGCTGATAAAGTCCTTCCTGTACATTAGAATTCCTGTTTTCCTTTAAGCAACAGCAGGGGATTGGGAATGATCAGGAAAGGGGAGGAGGAACAGGAGAAGAATACACTGAGCATAGCATGAGCTATAATTTCTCAGTTTGCCCCGCATGTCCTCTGAAACAAGTCGTACTTCCAGGAAAAAAGCACCGCCCTGTGAATTGAGAGCTTCCGTGGAGCTCATGTGGAAGTCCCGTCCAGTTTACCAGATGGCTGACTGTTCATAGTTGCTTCATTTTGTTCATTGATATCACTCCGTCTGTTGGTTGTATAATCAGTTGGTAATTTTCGGAGTTCATTCAGGTTGGACTAGGTCAGTGCACCTGAAAGACGCAAAGGGCTGCCCCGTACTTTCCTGGATCTGTGGTTTTTTCTTTTCTTTTCTTTTCTTTTCTTTTCTTTTCTTTTCTTTTCTTTTCTTTTTTTTTAAGGGAGTCATTGAGTTTTGTAGATGTTCTGTAATTAGTATCCAAGAGTATTGGCCTCTTTCTTGGAAGAGTATGCCCCAATTAAGACAGCAAGAGTAGAAATGACTTCTAGATTTGTAAAAAGCTTTTTTCCCTAACTTTAGAAATTAACTTCATTGAGGTATAATTTGTATATAATGCAATGCACCCCTTTTAAGTGTCTGTTTCAATTAGTTTAAACACATGTAGACACTGATGTAACTAACCATCACCTCATCAAGATTCTGGAGCATCTTTTCTTACTTTTGGTACCAATCACTGAAAAGACAACGTACCGTAGTATGGCATCTTTATATGCCTAGTTCCACAAATACTAATATGTATACATTTTTTGTCTCCCTCTGCACCTTTCCTCTTGTTTCTTCATTTATGGCTGAAATGGTAACTGTGGAAAAATCTCTTGGCATCCTGACATCAGAATCCTGCATCCTGGCGAGATCACGATGATGCAACCTCCACCCACTCAGCAGGCACCCCGGGGCCCTCCAGTGGGGGCCATGCTTCACAGAGTGGAGACAACAGCAGTGAACAAGGTAAAAGGTCAAGCATTGTCCTTGTACAAAGTAGACATAACTAAAATAACTTCAGTATTTTATAATATCGGTACATCTCCTGTAAACAGGAGAGTGGCAGGTTAGAGAGCTGCTACGTTAGTATTTCCTCTCAACTTACATTACTTTAAAAAAAAAAAAAAGTCAGAGTGAGATGTCTAATCTTTAAGTAGACATTACAATAACAATTGATTAGTTCTGCCAATTCTTTTACAAATTTGGTTATCTACACTTTACTTCTGTGTATGAGTAAATAGAATGACAGGCTTACTTTGCTGCTATTATTGCACTAGTTTGAATTATTCTATAAGCAGGATATTTTGTTTGTAATATCAACTGTAGGAGTTCTCTGTAATCAAGCAGTGATGCCTCGAAAGCACATAAAATGCCAAAATCTGTTCTTATGAACTCTAGAAGTACTGTGTGAATTTTATATGGAATTTTATCTTGGGAAGATGGATTTTGAAGTTCTTAGGTTATTTGTCCCCATTTCCAGTCAGCTGACATGGTGACTTTTGTCACAAATCCTAAAAATTAGAATAATCAGAGGGCAAGGGGGACGTCAATGGCTGATGACAGGAAGCCTCGCGTAATTTAGAATAAATTTTACGATTTAAAACTCACCTATTGCACAGAGAGTAATTATACATTGGTAGGGATGACTCTTCTATAGCTAAAATGATAATTTAAGGGAAGATGCATTATTGAATGAATATAGGCCAGGAAAGTGTATAGATTTTACTTTTTAATATTTTACATTAGATGGTGTCTGATCTCCTAGGTCTATTTCATCTCTATTATGACTGTGTTTATGGCCACAGTATTTAAGCATTAGACACTCTTCCAAGTGGAGGACAGTTTAACAGCCTGAGCTGTAGTCATATATGCCATTTAAAAGAAGGTGGTTGATGTAGGGTGAGTGCCTTGACTTTGTAGGGTGAGTGCCTTGACTTCTCCAAGTTTCTGGCCACAGATTTTGGATTACTAGTATTCTAGAAGAGTATAGGAAGAAACTTGTCTTCTAAGATGCCATTCACTGTGAATAGGTCCAAATTAGAATCTGGGTTATTTGCGACTGATACAGAAATGAAAACTATCGGATGGTAAATTGTGGAAGGACTTGTCAGTTGGATCTATTTAGGCTTATCTGCTGTCTTTATTAGACCAGTTAGATTGTACATAAGAAAACCAAACTGGAAGGCATTTTGGAGATGGCGTGTACATGAATCCTGTGGATCTGCAGTGCAGTGTGGTTCCATGTCACGGCGATGGACTTCTCAGGGTGGTTAAATCTGGGAAGCTTTGAATGAGTCCACCTTCCCTACCACCCCTAACTGCTATAACACAAAGGGTGAAATGTATCTATTAATAAAAACAAAACACCCTAACCATTGGACAAAAGAGGGGGGAAAAGAGAAGCAGACTTAATGGTCTAATGAGGCTATCTTCCAAAGACTTGTTGTGTGTGAGGCTCGCTTTGACCTTTCACTTTGCTCAGGAGCCCAGCGCTTCATTTTTCACATTCTTGCAATTACGTTAACGCTTCAAGCATTTCTGACTCCAAGTCAGCTAGCAACACCAGGCATAACTCAACACTGTGAGTTTTTCTCCTCTCTGTAGATTCATTAACAGGTCACGAAGGTCCCAACTGAAATTTAAAACTGCCTGGTTCTGTTGGGTTGGTTGAGTTATGGCAAGGGAGATAGCAGGAAAGGACCCGAGAGAAGGGGAGGGGGAGCGAGAAGACCCTGGGGTTTGGAGCTGGGAATTGTCGCGGCAACAGGCAAGGCGTGGAGTTTTATCATTTCGGTTAGTTTTGTTTTGTTGTTGTTTTTGGTCAGAAAAAGAGAAAAGTTCTGAGATGGATACACTGGGTAAAAGCGAGGCCCATAAACCTCTATGTTGTGGGTAGCTGCACCCACTTATCCCATGTTGAAGGATTTGATCCCTGCAGGATTTTGTCCCTTTTATCATATCTCCGTGGGATTAAAGAATGGACATGGCGGCTTATGTGTACGAGCACTAGGAAGTCAGTCATTTTACTGTATGAAAGTGTGAGGGACAAAAACAAGTTATGATTCCTATAAAATAAGGAATAAGTTGTGGCGTGGAGAATTTCCTACCTGGCTTACCACATCAGTGGTCCCCAAACACATGTTGGAGGGTATTCTGTTTGTTACAGCAGACTAAATTTGAAGGCCGGGCTTGATGCATTTTGTCATACTCAGGCCTATGTTAGTCTTTTAAACGTGTATTTAAGGTATTTTGAAATTTGGCCCACTGAATTGTCCAGAGTAGCTTTCTGTGGGAAAGATTAATTATCTGCTTCAGGGCAAAGTCAACAGAGATATTGACTGAAATCACATATGCTTATCCTAGGTTAAATCTTAGGGTTGCTGTATAATGGGAAACCTAGGAGGGAAATTTATGTTCCTCGTATTAAATATATTATAATGTTTCACTGGAAACCAAGTTCGTAGTTTAGAAAAGAGTTTTCTTGTGTATTCAGAATTTATTAGCACAACAGGCATATGGAAAACTGTAAAACGACTCAGTTTCAAAACAAATTATGATAAACAGAAAAAATAGGGATGAATTGTACTAAATACAATGTTTTCATACACATTTTAAATTAAACTTTAATAGCCATATGCTATAAAACAATACATGCATTTATGTTGCTTTATATTTTTTGTGAATATCTGTACTAAAATGGTTCATACACATCTTTACTTTGGAACCTAAAAATACCTCATTTTATGACTTGATAGTGAAAGAGCTATAGTTACACAGGTGAAAGGTCATCTTTTCCTCTCTAGTGTTTGTACAACAAACCAAATAGAGGGAAAAAAATCAAATTTTAGAAATATTGTAAGAAACAAACTTGGTAAAATGTAAAACCTGACTTTACTATGTCTTTCAAACAGCACATGCGTAGCAGTAAACTATATAAATATGAACCAGATTTTCATTCACTCTGATTTCTTTTGCTAAAAGCAGCCAAAGGGAGGGAGTTTGTCTTGTTAGTCACATCAGAATGAAGAAAGAAATCTGGTTTTTCAGGGATAGAATTAGGGTACAGACTGGGGACTCTGGGGCAGTAACTGGCCCTCTTTGTGTCTGGCTTCCCATCAGTAAAATGGGGCTTGATAATAAGGCTTGGGGTCCCTAATTCTGTACCTGCTGAGTCAAAAGCTGCTTTGTATTTCATTGTGTATTTTGCCAGAGTAAAGACTAGGAAGCAGCCCCCTTGTTCATAGAGCACTTTGAGAGCCTTAGATGAAAGGCACAATATATGTACAAAGTATTATTATTATTGATGGGTTTGTGTAACTCCCATTAACGCTGATGGGAGTTACGCATGTGAATTGGCAAGAGAATAGACCCCTCAGTGTTTAGAGCACATGAAATTTACATTTTTTCCAGTGCTGTAATTGAGATGTTGACAAATTGGAGAATATTGATGAGCCTTTGTTTTAAGTATTTCGTGCCAAGTTTGTTTTATTTTTCCTGGTTTGAACAATGGTATGGGTTCAGCAGCAATGAATAAAAAGGGTAGAGTAAAGATAACTTTGTATTTCAATATTTTGATGTGCCAATATGAAATAAATTGTCTTAGGCAAATGGAATATGCTGTTTTAATCATTAGCTATGCATGAAAGAAAAATTGATGTTGACATCTTTGCTGTAAAATCGTTGTAATGGGGCCTTCCTTACAATTCATTTTTGTAAAATTCATTTTGTACATTTTGCAGCAATTGAACAATCCCTGCACTGTGAATAGGCAGGATTCCCAGAAATACCGAGACAGTTGGCCCAGTAACTGCTGAGCTCACACTGCACACCACACACACGTTAACCATACTGTTGCCAGACCCAGTTTAACCTAAATACATTAGCATACTAGCATCTATATGTCTCTAATCTTTCAGGACACAAGGCTGCACAAGCCAGCATAATTCCCCTCAACTCTGCCACTTACCAAACCCTTCCACTGATGTCCCCAACTATGATCCAGGCAATAAGACTATTATTTTATAGCTAGATATTTATTTATGTATTATACAGTTCTTTACCAGTCATGGTGTTGAAATCTAAAAATACCCCTTTATATTGAGTGTGTTTATAGGTCAGCAAGCATCTAAAATAGTAGTATACTTTTGAGTTTATAATGCATGCTATCGGTATGAAATAGATTTCTCCCCCACCAGAATATTCCAATTATACATTTAAAGGAGGGAGAAAAACCTCCACCCTACCTACGGTGGATCCTGAATATGTTCTACTGGGATTTCTTATTCAGTCTAGGAAAACTCCGTCAATGGAATGTTTTCATAGTGGCGGCAATTTCTTTAAAATAACCCTAAATACAATATGACAGATGCCATCTGGCATAATCTTTTGCTAGTTGCTTTTAACTTTTATTTTTCCTAGAGCTAAGTTCATCCAAAACTGGTCACTCACTGTTATGATAAGTAAATGCCATTTCTTTTCCTTCCTGTCTTCCTAATTGTATCAAAAAAAAATTCTCTGAGAATATAATTGATAATTATACATTCCCACAGAAGAAGCTGTTGTATATAGAATATTTATGTTGCATTTTTTTCCTTGCCGCTCCGCCCCCCCCCCCCCAATGAAGTCAAAAGAATACCATCCTTTAGCAATCAGCAAACATCCAAATAATTTCTGTTGATTTTCTTGGGACTTTTTAGAATAGTAACCATTAGAAATAAAATTAAACTCTTCTAATAAATAAATGCTCTAGGAGCATGTAATAGTGCCCATAAATGCTTAAAAGGCTTTCTATAATTGCTGTTAATTTTGAGTAATTTCTTCCTATATGTATCAACTTACTTGAAAAACCCAGAGTTGGTATTTCTAGATTTTTTTTAACTTAGTCATGTAAAGGGATGTCTCCTGATGCCAGTTAGAGTTTAATTTAGAGTAGTAATTAAACTTGAATACTGCCTCATAAACAAAAG